GGTATCCTCTTGCCTCAGCCTTCCAAGTACTTGGATATAGGCACTTGCCACCATGCCCAGTTAATTTTTCTGTTTTTAGCAGAGATAGAGTCTCACTTCTGCTCAGGTTGGTCTTGAACTCCTGAGCTCAGGCAATCCACTGGCCTCAGCCTCCCAGGGTGTGAGGATTACAGGTGTGAGTCACTGTGCCCAGCTTACCTGTTATTTAGAAGTATATTTAATCTCTAAGTTATTTGTGTGTTTTTTTTTGTAGGAATCTTTTTATTATTTATTTCTAGTTTAATACCACGTGGTCTGAGAGTGTACTTTGTTATTATTTTTAATTTAAGGGATGTTTTATGGCCCTGAATGGGTTATATTTTGGTGAGTGTCCAGTGTGAGCTAGAGAAGAAAGTGTATTCTGTCGAATAGTTGGTAAGTTTTCATCATATTCAGTTGATTGATGGTGCTGTTGAGTTTGGCTATGTCCTTACCTAGTTTCTGCCTGCTGAATCTGTCTATTTTTGATAGAGCAATGTCAAAGCCTCCAGCTGTAATAGTGGATTCATCCGTTTCTTCTCTCAGCTCTCGCCACGTGTATTTTGCTCTCCTGCTGTTGGGAATGTGCATGTTCAGGGTGGTTCTGTCTTCCTGAGAACCAGCTCCTCCACTGTACTGTCACACTCCTCTGATAATTTTCCTTGCTTTGAAATCTGCTTTATCTGACATTAATATAGTTTCTCTGGTTTTCTAATTACTGTTACCTTAGAATCGTTAATACATCTGAACATTTAATTGGTAATATTTAAGTTTTTTCTTTTTTAAAAAATTGAGATACATTTATATAACATAAAATTCAGCATTTTAGAGCATACGTTTCTCTGGGTTTCAGTTTATTTACTGTTTTGTGCAACAATCACCACTATCCAATTCTGGGATATTTCCATCATTCCACAAAGAAACCTTATAGTTTCTTTTAGCAGTTAACCACAATTTTTCCCTCTCTCCATTTTCTGGCAACCACTCATCTACCTTCTGTCTTTATGGGTTTGCCTATTTTGGAATCAGACAGTGTGTGTATAGTTTTCATCACTTAGTGTAATATTTTCAAATTTGTAAGTGTAGCAGTACTTTATTCCTTTCTATGGCTGAATAATATTCCATTATAGAAGGTGTCAAAAATGTATACACATTTTATTTATTTATTTATTTATTTTTAGAGACAGAGTCTCATTGTGTCGCCCTCGGTAGAGTGCCGTGGCATCACAGCTCACAGCAACCTCCAGCTCCTGGGCCTAAGTGATTCTCATACCTCAGCCTCCTGGGTAGGTGGGCCCACAGGCACCCACCATAATGCCCAGCCATTTTTTTGTTGTAGTTTGGCTGGGGCCGGGTTTGAACCCACCACCCTTGGCATATGGGGCCAGCGCCCTACTCACTGAGCCACAGGCACCGCCCTAAAAATGTATACACATTTTAAGAAAGGAAAACACCGTATTAAAAAGAACTCAGTTCAATTCAAGATGGAGGGATGGAGAGGCAAGGGGAAGAGGGAAGGAGGGAGAGGAATTGGTGTGCTCCCACTTCATGGGGACAATGGGTGGGCGTATATGGTACACTTGGGGGCAGAACACAACTACAACAGGGACTATACCTGACTAATGCAAACATTGTAACCTAATTGTTTGGACCGTCAAGCTAACCTGCAATAAAACAAATTGTAATACTTAGTATATACTGATAATATTTGTTATCTTGTATGGTGTATCTTGTATCTCTTGTGATTGCGGAAGTCAAACATGACTTGAGTATTATCATTTTAATACGGTTTTTTCCTCTTTTAAAATGTGTACCCGTTGTGTGGGTACCTCTGTATATAGTTATACCACATTGTGTTCATTTCTTCATCAGTTGTTGATGAGATAGGCTTTCCCCCCCCTATTTTTTTAGCTGTTAGGGTGAATGAATGTTCATTCACAAGTTTTTATGTAAACATTAGTTTTCAACTCTTATCAGATAAGCCTAGAAGTGGAACTGCTAGGTAATTCTAGGTTTACCTTTTTGAGAAGCTGCGGAGCTGTTTTCCACAGTGGCTGTGCCGCTTTACATTCTCACTAGTGGTGTATGAGGGATCTGGTTTCTCCACATCTTCACCAGCACCTATTTTCTGCTTTCCCCACCCTCTTGTTCTTTTTAAAAATTTTTCACTATAGCCATCCTAATGGGCGTGAAATTTTATCTCGTTGTAGTTTTGATTTACATTTCCTTAGTGACTAATGATGTTGAGCATCTTTTGAATTCTTGCCAGATATGCGATTTGTAAGTATTTTTTCTCATTTGTATGTTTTTTTTTTACTTTCTCAATGCTGTCCTTTTATGCATAAACATTTTTAAGTTCAGTTTATCTATTGTTTCTTTGATTCTTATGCTTGTGTTGTCATATCTTAGAAACTGTTGCCCAAGGTCATGCTGATTTTTACCTTTGTTTTCCTTTTAAGGGTTTTTTAGTTCTTACAGTTAAGTCTTTGATCCATTTTGAGTTGAATTGTATATCAGGTGAAGTTGGTGTCCAGATTCGTTTGTTTGCATGTGGGCACCCATCTGTCTCCACACCGTTTCTCTCCCCGTTCGATGGTGTTGGCACTCTTGTCAAAAATCATTTGACCATAAATACGTTTTGTTTTTAGTTCTTTTTAAATGTTTAATAGGTCTACAATATAAAAAATATTTATGGCAATGGGTGTGGATTTTGTCAAATGCTTTTTCTGTTTATGGCACATGAATTAGTGCCTGTTGTCATAAGCCATTGTGATTTGGGGACTGTTATCACAGAGAAAGCTATCTGATGCAGATACTCTTAAGTGACTTGGTTTTTATGTTATGCAGTCTGGTTATCTGAGAAGAAATATGTGTACATAATTGGAAGTTGAATAGTAATATTATCCAATAGTATTTGTTCATGGAAATTGAAGTGTACAATTTAGAATGGCTTCGTGAAATTCACATTACAAAGAATGTTTAGCTGAGGCAGGTAAAGTGATCTTGCCTTAAGTCTTACAGCTGTTTGGGATCAGGACCAAGAGTGCAAGCTGAGTCCTGCTCCCAGGTTCTTTCTGCGACATGCTGCATCATTGTGAATGTAAGGTGTTGTCTGAGGTAGTCTCAAGAAGCAAAATGTCCTGGTTGATTCTGGCCACAGATAAAGAAGCAGATGGTTTTTTAGTAGGTGGTTGTGAAATTAAGAACCAGAGTTAAGAAGTCTTCTTATTTTACATTATGAGGGCAGGCATTTGGTTGATGAAACTAAAAATGTTAAACAAGTACTCTTAAGGAATGGTGCACATAGACCTCAGTATTTTATTTTAAAACATATATGCATGCATTTATTTTCTGTTGATGTGATACCAAGCTCTTTTCTTTGAAAATTGATATGCACATTACATTTCCATATTGTCATTTTTGCATCCAGTTTATTTCTTTCAGTTGATTGAGAACCCAAAGACATTTCCAAAGCATCTGGCTATAGAGGCCTTTGAGATTTGTATTGTCCTGCCGCCCCCGTCCTCCCAGGTTCATAGTTCTCTCATCATATATAATTCAGCAAAAGTTTTCTTAGCAATTTGCCTGTATCAGGTATTTCCAAAGCATCTATCTAAATGTAATGTGCATATCAATTTTCAAAGAATAGAGCTTGGTACCATATCAACAGAAAATAAATGCATGCATATATGTTTTAAAATAAAATACTGAGGTATGTATGCACCATTCCTTAAGACTACTTGTAGTTCTCATAAAAATTATCTTGTTTCATTCATATTTCACTACTTTATACAATATTTGATAAAATTATGTAATTGTGGCTATAAGTTAAAGTGGCCTTAACAAGTTTGAGAGTCATCACATCTGATTCTTGATGTTCAAACAGCTCAATTAGAAAGAGTCCAAGTCGTAGGAGTTGACTGTAACCTGCCAGCTGCAAGTGTGCCAGCCTGCCAGGAGCATCAGCTGTTAGCAAGGGCTGACTGTAACCTGCCAGCTGCAAGTGTGCCAG